GAATACAACTATTGCCCTCACAGTCAGACAATTGCTAGTTGTACAGATTGATCAGGCCTTCGATGGTGTTTCCCATGTACAATCGAGAATATACATTTATTCATTTTCTATATTTACATGGAATACGTGAAATGTCTGTAAATATCAACGAATTAGATGTTCGAAGTGCCCTCCGTCTTCTTGGGTACAGAGAAGCATTCGCCTACATTCGTCCATCATATTCTCTTTCACTTCATCCATGTTGTTGGGTTTCGTTCTATAAACTCTGCGCTTCAAGTATCCCCATAGGAAAAAGTCCATGGGATTCAAATCCGGTGTTCGCGTAGGCCATTCTATCGGTCCTCCGCGACCGATCCAACGTCAACCGAATGTCTCGTTCTGGTAGACACGAACCGATTGCGCCGAATGTGCAGGTGCGCCATCCTTTTGCCATCAAACGTTGTTCATTAACCCTTCCTACTATAGCTGCGGAATGACGCTGCTCTGCAACATTTCCATGTACGAGGATGCTAAAAAATGTTAGTGCTGTTAAACAACGACCTACCGGACACACTCCTGGAAAAAAGATCCAGTGATTTTTCGGCCAGTCAACCCAGCTCATACCATGAGCTTCGCGCTGTTACACACGTGAAGCGCTACATTGCCGTGGGTTAGTTGTTGCCCAAACGTGTCGCGTATCTCGGTCATGCAGGGGGAAACAGCCTTATCGGTGAACAAAATGGAATGCACATCCAGACTGTTTAAAAACAAACGGGCGAATTCGAGACGTTTCTGCGAATCGAATGTGTTCAACACTTGCACCTCCAGAGCACCATCGTCGGAATTTTTTCCTTCAACATACCGTGTGATTTCGCAATGTTGTGCGAGCTGTCGAATGCTGAGATGCCTGTCACTGCATGCCTCTTACGCAACCGCGCAAGCTGATGCTTCATCCGTGACGGTGCGAGGCCGTCCGGTTTGTTTGATGTTGCAAACGCTGCCAGTTTCTGCAATTTTTTTCACCACTCGAAGTACATACAGCTCGTTAATGGGCCACGTAATGCGGTGCACACTATTATAGCGCCTTGCGGTTTCCGCCGCATTGGATCCACACTCACAATGACCACGCGCTGATGGACGGGCAAATTACGTGACTGCGGTTGATGATACATCAACGACACGGATGTAAGCTCCTTCTCTATTGCTAGCACAGCGAACCACCACCTCGCGGGGAACCTATTTTGCTGGCATTTCACATTCGCGAAGGCTCACTATCGATCGATTGAAGCATGACACGTTGAGTGCATTTATGTGGTGTCTGGCTAACGTCTAGTTCTCACTGCCCGACGGGGTGCGTTCAGTTAGTCTTGCCCTGCGGTTGAGGCATGACAATCATTGCGGCTGTGGTGTCTGGCTCACGTCCAGTCCTCACAGTCGAACGGCGTGCGTTCCCTTACTCTTGCCCTGCGATCCCCGCATGACACGTCGATTGCGGCTGCGGTGTGTGCTAACGTTCACTCTTCACATCCGAACGGCTCGGTGTGTCCTGCGATCGTAGGCACACATATCGTGTCTCGGTGCCCCATCTCACGCCTGCCGATGAAGCTGTTTGTGCCATTGGACAGTTAGCAATTCAGCGTACCGGTGTACGTCAACACCTGAGTGCAGCCGCTTCTAGCTCCGGACCAGATTAATAAAACACCCTATACATGGGTTTCACAACTGTTCGCCTGCTCAACGGCTTCACTAAGTTACCACCTGTTTGAAGTTAAACCAAATTTTCTTATTGGTTTTCTATCTGTTGTAGTTGGGAACGTTTATATAATGTCTAACGCACCTCTGTACATCATTGTTAGTGGTCTCAATGGAAATGACACAGACTTCATTAAAGTGCTGGGTCTAACCAACTTGGTAGATTACCCCACCAGAATTGAGGCACATTTAGATTTAGATTTTACTTGCAAACAACCTGTTTTCCACACAGACGCACCCCACTTGGCAATTCGGACCATTGCATCGTGAAGATATGCCCGAAGATTTACTGTAAGACCAACTACATTACAATATCAAGTAGGCCACTCATGTGTCAAGCGGTGAAACTGTTCAACTGAAGACATTGCGAAACACAAATCACCGCTCAATCCCATCGACTTCTCATTCTTCACCAATGAGTATCTGTCAGCTCAATGCGAACATCTCACAGATCTTTACTGCTGATCTTTATTGCCCCATTGAGACCATCTATTTTCGGATTGATAGATGTTCATTTCCACTACTCAAGCAGCTGCACTCGTAAAGCACCCCACTTTCAAGTACTAATTAATGGCCTGTGTCAAATGTCTGTCTGTGGCTATAAAAACTGAGATAAAAAGGTTAAACAGACGTTTTAGGAAATCACAGTTGCCGAGACTTGTGTGGGCTCTTGAAGCAACTCACGGCCACAATTTCTAATGACCCATTCGGTACTGTCGATGTGGACAAGCTCAAAACAGATTTCAACTGTTTAACATCAAACACCTTCCTCCTACCTTCCTTCTCCATCAGTGACCCTCCCACCTTATTTGACCACATCAGTATTTACAGGGAACTAACAAGACTGAAACTAAACAAGGCTAGTGGCCCTGATTTCCAGTTCGCAGTCGCTCTGAAGGCTATGTTAATGGGAACTGCTATCACAGCTCATCCGGAACACGGGTCTCTTTCAGTTAGAGACAATAGCGGAGAGAGTGATAAATGACTAATCCATTCCCAGCCGCGTGAATTAACTCGTTGATCGGAACATATTCAATAGCTTGTGACGCTGTTGTTCACCGAATCAGCTGAGCCTGTGTAGAAAGTTGATGTCACACTTCCAACTTCAAAAGGGATTTGGCATGATCTAGTTGTGTTGAAACGAAACAAGGCTTCTGGACTCGACGACCTTCTGTGCTAAAATGGATGTTGGCTTTTTGTTGACTGGACTTAACGCTCTATACCACACGATTTGTGCTAGGAGAGTACGCATCTCTAGCGCAGACCAGCGAACCACAACACGCGGAAGCCAAGTTCAAACTCAACTGACGACCAACAGTCAGACTGCAACACATCGACAGACTAATGTTGATTTGAAATCAATACCCATGGTCGATCCAGCTGTACTTAGCATAGTCTGTCTTCGCCATAATCTAACTCACGTCTGGTTTACGTTTTGGTCTCCAATGTACTCCATCTGTCACGCACTCGCTCTGTTTGTCCTTGTTGAGAATTAGCCTATTCTCGCAAAGTCCGACACAACAATTGTGGACACTGAAATGGTGCTTTCAGACTGGCGACTGTCAAATATCGTGCTCGTTTTTAAAACTGGTCAACGTACTTTGTGCAAATACCATCAGGGCATTAGCTGTATTTCCAAATGCCTGACGGGGTTATTTTTTCTCAGCGACTCACCGGTCATCGTAAGAACCGGATCCCTGATAGCCATGCTGTCTTTCGCCCTGGCCGTGATTGCACCAGTGATACGTTTACTCTTCGTCAAGTGTGAGAGCAAGGACATCTATAGACAACCGACTATAATGATTTGCCTTGATCTTGAAGCCATCTTCGAGTCTGCTAATCGTGTCGGCCTATGGCACTACCTATCTGTGAAGTGAGTGCCTCGAAAAATCCTTTCTATTCTGAAGTCACTACCGAGACTGCGTAATTGTCTAGGGGAAGCGTTCTCTATAGTTCCCTACGACAAGTGGAAATCGCCTCTCCACTTCAACTTCGTGATCGGAATGATCATCAAGGAGTTCATTCTCTCCGACTCTCCCATGGTACAAGTCAGTTAGGTGACCGACTGACAAGCCTTGAATATGCAGACGGCATAGCTCTCATGACACGTCAGCTATGCAGGCACTACTGGATAGACTGACGCGTAACGCTGCACGCTTAGGTATATGCTTTCCCACTTCAATGTGCAAAGTACTGTTGCATGACTAGACTGATACGCCACCGGTTGTTGCTATCACCGAACAGCCACTGGAAATAGTGGGTCGGTCCACTTAACTTGATATCTGTGTCACATCGGTGAGGGTGTTATTTCTCGTATCAGCGAGGCCCGTGTGGCTTATCAAAGATTCAACTACCTATGGATGTGGTGGGATATCAGCCTGTCAGTGAAAGCTAGAATGTATGACACTGCGATGAGAACGGTGTTACTGTATGGACCAGAGACCTGGCATTTCGCAGTGCAGATATTAAACGCTTGACCACGTTTGACCACCCGTGCTTACGGAGTATTTGCGGCGTCTGGTGGGAACACCGGGTGAGCAGTGCTGTGTTTCCGCCGGTCGGTTTATTTGCAAAGTCAACCACTTACATTGACTCAATAACACTAAATGAAAAATAAACAGTGTCTTCCTTAACAAACCGACGCAATGTCTAAGTGAATGATCTACTCACTTTGTAAGCGGGATTGCATAAAGCAGGTAAATGTTCAGCTTTTGGGAGTCTGCCAAATTGGATGTATTAAAAACCTTGTGAAGGTTGCGAATAATAAGAAATGCAGATTTAACCAAACGTTCAAAGTATCACGGAACAGTCTCTTTTAGGGATCTAGCTCCATGCAGGATATTCTTTCGATAACTTTCACCCATCATCATCATTATCAATAGCAGTACATCAGCCATTTGAACTGATGCTTCGCTGCCATACAACCATGAGAACATATGAAATAAAGAATAAGAAGAGGGAAAGAAGGGGGACTTACCTGAAAACCTTAATGCCCTAAGCAAACATGCAGGGTCAAGGCGCCTACACCTTGTGTAGATAACATACCGCTACAAACAGCTGGCTATCGTGCAAAGATAAGGCGGCATCGGTGAGACAGCTTCCTTGCGGCTTTCACTGTCACGCGTCATAATCAGCCATTACCCCGCAGATAACTCAGCACCAAACACACTTTAAACAGACAATCCGATTAGGAGACGGCAGCAGACGCGCCACCGGTGTCGGTTGCGAGCCATGTCCTGTGAAGTCTCGAGCCAAGCACAAGGTGAGCCACGTGGACTCCAACTCGGAAGGCGAGACGGACCAACGGCACCCAGTTTGGTCATCAGTGACTTCATTTCCCGTTGCCAAGTCAACTTCTGTCCACCTTGAGCCTTGCGCCATCCTACACCTGGCAGACTGAACAAGGCCCTCCTAGGTAAGCGGTGACCAGGCATGCGTAGCACGTGCCCGAGCAAACGCAACTTATTCAGTGCTATCTGTTGTTCTAGGGAGCTAGCATGTTTGTCACTACCTAGTACTCGCCTACGCACATCATCGTTGCGGACACGCTGGTGCCATCCGGCACCAGCAATGCTTCACAAACGAGGATGATCAAAGACTTGAAGGCGCCTCAGATCTTCAGACCGAAGGGGCCAAGTCTCACTACCATAGAGCAGAACGGCTCTCACTGTGGCCTTGTATACACGGCCTTTCAGACGGAGGGAAACTCCCTTCTGTCGCCAAAGATGACGCAGGTTCAAGAAGGCAGCTCTGGCCTTTGCAATGCATGAGCTGACGTCAATTTCTATGCGCCCATCATTGCTGATGAAGCTGCCGAGGTAAGTGAATTGATCAACCACCTCGAGTTCCTCGTTAGCAAGCGTCAAGGGGTCATCAAGTGGCTGGTGGTGCTGCAGCAACACTTTGCACTTTGAAGGTGCGAAGTGCATACCAAATAATGGGACCACTCTGGATAGGCTATTCAGGGTTGATTGTGCCGCCTCAACATTGTCGAAAAGCAAGACTATATTGTCCGCATAATCTAGGTCAACTAACCTTTCCCCAGGCAGCACTTCAATGCCTATATCGTGAGATTCCGCAAGGGAACACTCCATGATAGAATCCACGACGAAATTGAACAAAAATGGGGAAACCGGACAACCCTGACGAACGCCACTTGTAGTCGAAAAGCTATCCGATAGGACACCATAGACCCTGACGCGGTCTGTAGTGTTCGAGTATAGAGCACGAAGAATGTTCACATATTTCGTGGGAACACCTTTCTGCGCAAGTATTTTGAACAGAATCGATCGATCGACTCAATCGAACGCACTCTTGAAATCGAGGAACACGGCTATTGTCGGTCTGCGGTATGCGTGGCGCTGCTCTAGCACCTGCCGCAAAGTGAATATATGGTCTATACATCCACGTCCTGGGCGGAAACCGGTCTGCTCTTCCCTAATCCGAGATTCCCGTTCTGCAGTGAGGCGACGAACGAGAATCGAGGCCAGTATGCTTGTCACAACTGGCGTTAGGCTAATACCCCTGTGGTTCGCACAGTCCGTGCGACTGCCCTTTTTGTATATTGCCACTATAAGCGATTCGCTCCAATTAGCCGGCACACTCTCTTCGTTCCAGATACGTTCGAATAGGGAGGTCAGTGCTTTGCAGAGGACCTCACCTCCATCCTTAAATAGTGCAGGTGGGAGGGAATCCGGGCAGGCGGCACGAAAACGATTGAGGGCTGTGATCGCCTTTCGGACCTCGGCCTCCGACGAAGGCTCTAAACTAACCGTCCATGGCACGTCCTGCATCACCTGAGTAGGAAGAGGTCCGGGAGCATGGGGCCAGCTGAACTGATCTTCAAAGTGTTCAGCCCAACGAGCCATACGGCGCTCCTTATTGTGTATCAGCGCACCCGCGCTGTCTCTGATTGTCTCACTGACGCCTGGTTTTCTGGGACCAGTGGTGCGGATTAGCTGGAAGAGCTTGTGGTAATTGCCTACGATAACTCACCCGCACTTCCACGTCTCATGTAGTGTTGCGTGGGTGTGGCAAAATAGCCAGTAAGCCAACACCTGCTTAGCAGTATTTGGGGCTGTTTTTCTATGCATATACTATGGATGATTAAGCTCCATCCGGTTCTGTCATATGGCTCTTTCGAAAATGACACTTTTATGGTACGCCAACGAGTCAATGTCAATGTGCCTTGAATGTGTCTACTTTTTGCTTAGTATCTTCAATCCGTCAACTCAGGAAATCAGCCCAGTCGTGCCAAAAATGAAATAAAGATAATGTATAATAATACTATGAATAGCAACGCTAATAAATAAACAAATGTCACGTTTCGAATCATTGCGAGAATGATTGACGGATCATAAGATCAAATTGTATGGTGGGATAGCCGAAGACTGATACCTGTTCGTGATGTCCATAGGCAAAAAGACACAAAAAAGAATTTTCAAAAACATTAGTTGCGGGCATTCGATCAGTAGGTAATTCGGTATATCCAAGCACTGAAATTTGGCAAATGTTCCTAGGCTATCGTCTTCTAAAAGGAAGAAAAAGTGATTAGCATTACAAAAAAATGTAACGAAGAGAATTCTAGAACAAATGTTACGCATTTATCAGTGTACGGAGGGGATCAAGCAGATCTTTCTTGTCCCCGTATTAATAAATCATTTTTGCTTTTGATCTCAGATCACAAGACAGTCAGCAGGAAGTGAATTTATACAGAGTAAATGTGCATACGAGGCTGCTTTATAAAATAGAATATGAAGGCTGTTGAAACAAGTCAACCTGAACGATCCAGGTTGCGCTGTTTCACTCATTGTTACATGCTTCCAAACAATGTTTTCCGGTTCATATTATCCGTATTCCGGTTGACCAGATTCCTCGACGTGCACCAAGTTGGGCGAAACCGCAAGGTGGCCAGTTGATTCCTTGGTACAAGGGCATGAAGAAATTTACTGAGAGATTTGCTCATGCTAGTGCATGCCTTCTTCGTAGAGGAAAGGCTTCAGGATGGTCCACACCAGTAGTGAAAGACTCTATCGGCCACCGCGTAGTCAGTGGCGTTTCTGCATACGATTTCTAGCATCTAGCTGTTAACTTTCATTCCATCCGTTTTCCTTATTTTCGATTTGCATTCAACCTCATTTTCTTACAGTTGTTGTTTTTCTTATCCTGCTGGAGTGAGTTGGGGCAGCTGGATCCACCGCACTTCTGTACCCGGATCATAGTTCTTCAGCTAAAGTCGGAGTTCTTAATCGGCATTTACAATATGCTTCATCTGAAATCATGACCTTGTGAGCTCCCTGTAACCCGATCACTTCTACTTTCGGCAATACACTAGTAGAAGCGTGGCTGTACCTTTTCGTTTCTCATTGTCATCTCCAATCAGTGTTTATCTACCGGTTCACTTGCCCATGTTGGGTTGGGTAGGTTGGGCGTACTACCGGGCATTCAGGTAAGCGAATCAAAGAGCAGCTCCCAAGTTGGCTCTTCAATCACGAAATTAGGACAAGTTATGGCGCAATTACAAGCCATCTACTCAACACCGTTTTAGATTCCCTACAGAATACGGCCTAGGCATATGTATCGAGTAAGAGGAAGTTTACTCCCAACTGCGAAGCAATATGTACACGGCTTACAGACCCCGACCTATGTGTTTAGAATATAATGTTGCAATCATTGCAACTTCCGTGGCCGGCCATTAGAGGGGAAGGAAATGACTGCACTTCGCAAGCCTACCTAACCTCAATCATGTGATCCGAGCATTCTTTCTCCAATTTTTAAAGATCTATCGTCATTTGTGACTATCGAAAAGGCAGGCTGATTGTCTGGTTCATACCCAGATACGCGGTTTCTGTCTGATGCAGCCAACTGTAACGTCCCTTCTAGGTCGTCTCACTTACTCTCGCCGCTTATGATGGTACGTGAGGCCAAATGTTGTTCAGTTGTGGGGGGTTTCGGTGTTACTCTCTTCCGTCACTGCACTCCACGAGGCGTTTCATCCTTGTTTTGACTCATCAAGTAGAGATAGCCTGGGCTAAGAGTAGAACTTGACGCGGCTATCGTCATGATCACTATGTCTTTGAGTTCCGCTATTCGACTCTGTTCCGTGTTTGGTATGACTATTATTTCCACAGAATGCTCATTTGTCCGATTCATACATCTATTTCGAGGTGCATACGTCGCCTTTTTGTCACATATTTCACATTTTTATTCCTCTTGCTCCTTGCAGATTATCCGACTTTCCTGAAATCCTTCCTTACTTCCCAAACAATCGATTTGTTTGCATACGGAATGCAGGGCACTGGCTTCACGCAGATGAGCCATACGCTGTCCTCAGCCTGATTTCGCAATTCATCAAGTGTCCGACATTTGAACTGACTGTGGACGGAGTGGAAGATATGACTGAACAGGCTCACAACTATACTGCCACTTGAACCCCATTTCCGACACTCCTTAGTTTTATTCACGGCTGAAAGCGATTTCACTCAGCACTATTCAGATTTCTTCTATTTACTGCAGAAATTGAGGTCATCTTTCTTACGCTGATTTCTAGACCAATTGATACTAAGTGGTTTTACCCACGGACGCCGTGGATTGTTGAATTACTGTGCTGGATTCTACTGTTGCTTCTGGATTACTGTGTTATACTCTTCTTTTCTGTGTGAATTGAGCACGAATATTTTTCTTTTGATGTATTTTTCAATCTGTTCAAATTTGGTGTCTGTTCTCTGACTAATCTCAAAGATCTAATTGGTTGGCCAAACTGCCGTCTTGGATTTGTACTACAATAATCGCTATCATGACCACCACACCTGTAAACCGAAACGCAGTATTTTGTGCTAATCGAACTTGTGCTAATGTAGCAAAGGTATGGTTGTCCTGTACAAATTGTGTTGACCGGTACCATTCGAAATACATCAACGTCTATAGAACCGACATAAAAAACACACTATGCTGGGTTCACTTTGGTTCTGTCCGAAGTGCACAGCGGTTCCACTAGTAAAATGCGTACTACGTTAACACAAAAGTACGACAATCTAGTCCCCGAAACTAAACATCGTTTGCATGCAAAAATTGCTCCGTTCGAGACGACAATAACACACTACCTCTCTTTTAATTGCTGCCTCGAAACCAAGGAAGAGGACAAGGCGTTCACACGGCCACGCAGTATTAGGAACCTTGGGAACCACGAACCAAATCGTCTTCGCGACCGATAGAACCGTACCTACCCCACGTCCACATTCTTTTATCCAAGGTATCGACTGATGCGACATCGGTAACGCCAACCTTTCCGAGTGACCAACGAAATCCCAAGGGCTCTAAAGGCCGGTCCACCTATGCAACCGTTGCTGTTCGATATGATCAAAGCGCGACATCAGTAGTCTCACTCAGTACAGCAACAAAACGGATTAAGGACCAGGTGCAACTTGCAGATACGTCACTCAAGCCCTCGATAACCGTGCTTCCCACATCATCGAAGACCAGGCGGGACTACGGGGCCATGACACTTCTATGCACCAACGTTCCTGAGCCCAACGCAAACTCCTTAAGGAGTAAACAGCCGGATGTTTTAAAGCAATGGAATTTCCTTTGTGATATAATCGGAGTTCAAGCCAGGCCGACTAATATAATGCGCATCACTAGACATCCAACCTTGATTCATTACGGGGAGTCCCGGCTAATGCGAGTAGCATTGGGATCAACAGATGATGTCGAGATAGTGCTTTTGTCGGCATACTGCCTGCGGATCGAAACCAGTGGGATACGCATATTTTCGGGCGTTCCATGGATGGAACGCCAGCGAGACGAAAATAATTCAAACAACCACCACACGGAGAGCAGCAAAATAATTATTTTCGTTCATGGCTTGCCCGAGCTACCGACAACCAGCAACGAAGAAGCCCATGCTCATGACCTGGAAGAATGGCGTTACACCCGTGAAGCGCTGTGCGGGCGACGTCATACTTCAGTCGCCTACACGGTTACCCGTGTCGCCAACTTACAGAGGCAGTGACCCTAGGATACTGAAACTAATGGTACAGTCACAACAGATGGCTTTGAATTCAATCCGTAGTTGGCAGTTACTATGTAACGGACTCTTCAGAACTACGACCGGAGACAGCAGTTAGAGAGTGTAGTGTATCGGAAAACACGTGCTTTCCGTATTGTGCAACATTGGATTTTACGGTTGTTTTAACCTTCAAAACGTCCACTTGTTGTACTGACGGCACGTCCGTTGACACAAAACGTTTTGGTGAGTACCTTGTTGTACCGTTTTGGCTCTGGTTGATTTGCTTCCTACTTTCGTAGTCTGCACAATATACGTTGGGTTCAGTCGCCTCCAACTTCTATACTATTCCGTAGTGGACACTTCTACGTGTCATCTATTAACGACTAGTATCCTAGGCGCCACCCAACAATTGGTGACCCCGGTCCAGAACACGCCGTCCGCCATTTTAAATTTTCATTCTGCTGAGGTCGTTCCAGTGATTTTGTGATTCATTACTTGTGATGATAGTGTTTTCTCACCTAAATTTTAATCGCTTTTTGCAATGGATTATCTAGAGGATGAGCCATCTCAATACGCGGTTAGCGCTGTTGAGCCTGTCATAGTCAATCATGTTCCGTTAACCCCTCCATCGTTTTGGGAGAATGATCCTTCGTTATGATTTTTGCACCTAGAATCCGTTTTTTACATTCATGGAATTTCTTCTGATTTCGCCATGTATAATCAGCTAGTATCTCGCAGGTGAGATATATCATATTTTGCCCCGCTCTTGTAATGAAATACGAAACTTTTAAACAGGCTATTCTTCAGCGAATCACGCCTTCTGACTAGGTCCGCCTGCAGCAACTATTTAGTGACATGCAACTAGGAGATAGGATGCCCTCAGCCATGTTCCGCGAAATGCAACAGCTCATCGGCACGTCCAACCTGGACGTAGGATACTCCGCGAGCTGTGGATGCAACGCCTTCCTGAAAGCATTCAGGTTATCTTTGCAGTAGCAAGAGACTTGCCAATCATAGCAATTGCAGATCTGGCAGACTGCGTCATCGAACGACACCAGCCAGAGAATGAAACTAAGGCACCCAAGCAGCTTTGTGCTGGCGCAACCACACCGACAACCGCGACTAGCCAGCCGTCGGCAATAGACGCATTATCATCGCAGATAGCATCGCTTCAGCGCCAAATCGAGGAACTCACTTTAAACCGTAAGCACCGCGACCGCTCTGGATCATCGCCCATTCGCACAAAAACTGGTACCACAGGTTGCTGCTTTTACCACTCGCTGTGTAGCTACTCCGCTATAGATGATCCGCCACGCCGGCCTGCAAAGCCCACAAACGTCGACAAAGCCCAAAGTCGTCTCATATATATTAGGGATTATGATTCCGAGACCCAGTTCTTAGTTGATACCTGGGCGGAAGTCAGCGTCATTCCCCCTATGCCAAGTGAGCCTATCGCTCCTTTGCCGAGAAGCACAAGTGCCGCCAATGGCACGCCAATAGCCACCTACGGTTATCGATCACTTACCCTGGACCTAGGTCTTCGGCGCATGTTCCGCTGGGTATTCACCATCGCTGCAGTCCCCTTTGCCATCATCGGCATTGACTTTCTCAGGCATTTCGACCTCTTGGTCAATGCGAAACGCCAGATGATACTGGACACTGCAACGAAACTCAGTGTACGTGGCATCACCGCCGATATCGCATCTATAACACCAGTCTACGCCTTTCCACATACCTCGCCAGATTACACCAACCTCTTTTCGCAGTATTCCAAGCTCATTCAGCCAATGAACGCAGCTTTGCCCATTGCATCCCATGTCACGCACCACATACGGACGATTAGCCCACCCGTCTCATGCCGTCCACACCGACTATCGCCCGAGAAAATAGTAGCTAGGGCGGAGTTTGAGCACATGCTCGAACTTGGAACAATCCGCCCTTCCGCCAGCCCTTGGTCCTCGCCCCGGCAGATGATCCCCAAGAAATCTGGTGACTGGTGCCCTTGCGGTGATTACCGCGCACTCAATCGCCTAACCGTTCCAGATAGGTATCCCATCCTACACATGCAGGACCTTACCGCATGACTCACAGGTAAAACGATCTTCAGCAAGATCGATCTGGTTTGCGTCTATCACCAGATACCTGTAAAAGAAAATGACATTCCCAAAACAGCGGTTATCACTCCTTTAGGCTTGTTTGCCATTTTGATTGTGCAACGCCGCACAAACCTTCCAACGCTTCATCCACGATGTCAATCGTGGCCTGGTCTTCGCTTATTCCTACCTCGATGATATTTTAGCAGCCACCTCATCGGAACAAGACCACCTCGTGCATCTTCGAACTCTCTTCCAGCGCTTGGCCCAACACGCTGTCACAGTCAACCCGACTAAATGCGAACTCGGCAAATCAACGGTAAAATTTCTAGGCTACCTCGTTTCATCGTCTGGTATCGAAGTTCATGCTGATAAGATCCAGGCAATCAAGAATTTTGAAAAGCACGGTAAGAAGACGAAAACTGGTAGATGCATGCATTTCGTATTGTCTTCTCAGTACCATTAACAATAACCGGTATGCAACTATATACTTAAATATGTGTGTGACCGAACAAGCATGGGGTGCAAAATGAATGACGGAAGTTCCACCCCTATGTCCACGGCAGTCTTAAGCTGATAAATAATTGCTTTTGAACACACAGGGCCGGCTTATCACAACGGCCTCGTCGAAACGGAGGAAGGGGGGGATTAGGGTGACGTAATACAAGTGTGAAAGCTGATCCGTGCTCTATCCGGTGACGCGTAGTCAGTAGGTGTTTACCTATTGAGGAAGCTAGCGGCTTGCGCAAGCACGGAACTTCAGTTGGACAGAGATGCTGGTCGATTTCACGTTGAACCCACCTTGGCACGTGTTGCTTTATTCGGGAAGTCAAAGACCGATTGGTTCTGCCTATGTAACTGTCTGCGCAATCGCATACAAATTTGTATATGCAGTGTGAGTTGGCCCCCTATCGGTTGAGCTTCCTTTGTTGGAGGCACCGGCAAGTTACAGGTTCTATTGATGACCACAACCTGAGCAGCACAGTAACTTCTCTGCGTAGCAGAGATTAAACGTTTCGTGGTTTTCAATACAGTAAAGTCACCCTTGAATGGCAACTCGATATAGATCTTTTTCTTGGCTGCCGTATGCGCCAAGTCTTTCGGGCCTCGTTGTTGGCTGTCTCTCTATAAATCTACGTGGATAACCATTTGCAACGAGTGTTGTTGTAATTAACTCTAGTTCGTCGGCTAGACAATCAGCGGAGCAAACTCGTCCAGCACGACTAACTCAAGTTTTCACAAGGGTCCGCTTGTACCGCACTGGTGTGAAGCTGGTGAAGTGCAGGTATTGGCCGGACCAGGTTGCTTTCCTGTAGATAGACCTTTTAATGAGCCCGTCATCCCTGCGACTGATGAGGATGTCTAAGAATGGCAGACAGTTCTTCTGTTCCACTTCGCAGGTGACCCGCAAGTTGGTATGTGCGCAGTTGAGTTGCTGCACCAACTGGACAATCTGCTGCTTAAGACTGCCGTGGACATAGGGGTGGAACTTCCGCCATTCATTTTTCATCTCATGCTTATTCGGTCACACGCATATTTAAGTATATAGTTGCATACCGGTTATTGTTAATGGTACTGAGGAGACAATACGAGATGCATGCATCTACCAGTTTTCGTCTTCTTACCGTGTTTTTCAAATTTCTGAAGGGAACTAACTGTTTTAAATCAAGAATTTCCCAGCTCCGACTTCGTTCAAGCACCTTTGTCGATTTTGTGGTTTGGTCAACTATCGACGCTTCATTCTGCGCTGCGCGCAGCTCATGCAGCCTCTGACCGACCTGCTCAGAGGGAATGAACGTAAATTCGCTTTCCCTGACACGACAAAGGCAGCCTTCGCCGAGCTCAAGGATGCCATCTTCAACATAGCCCTCCTCGCTCATTCCGAGTCGACTGCACCCCTTGCTATTACGACTGGTGCCTCAGATGTCGCGATAGGAGTCGTCCTCCAACAACACGTTGGTGGGCAATGGCAACCCCTTGAGATCTTCTCCAAGCGCCTGCAGCCAGCGGAATCCCGCTACAGCACGTTTGGCAGAGAACCACTCGTCATTTACCTAGCCATTCGTTACTTCGGGCACCCACTCGAAGACCGCGCTTTCACGGTCCACACTGACCACAAGCCCCTCATCTTTACCTTCAACTTTGCTTGCGACAAATACTCACTACGGGAAACAAGACACCTAGACTTTGTCACGCAGTTCGCTGCTGACATACATCATGTCTCAGGTGTCGACAATCCCGTCACCGACGCTCTCTCGCGCGTCCGCCTCACTTTCCAGTCTTTGCCTACCGTCGACCTTGCCGCCATGGCATCGGCTCAGACTCAAGATGAAGACATACAACACACTTTGCAGTCCACTTCACTGCATGTTTAACCTGTTCCTCTCCAAAGCACGGAAGGAACCATTCTCTGTGACACTTCCACAGGTTGTCCTAGACCCCTCGTGACCGCAATATCGATGTCGTAGCGCGCCAGTTCCATCGCGACCAGAGCAGTGCGTCGCTTAGTACCCTCAATTGTATTACGATCGAGCACTGGGCGCACATTCCAGCACGCGATGTTGAGCGCTTTGTGCGGACGTACACGGTTGCGTTGGTGGGAAATCGCACGATTGGTACGCTGGATTGGAGGAAATGTAGCGGGAATGGGGAGAGTATGTGAAGTGAAGAAGAAATAGGGGAGGCGCCAGCAGTAGCATGTTTTCGCTTATCCACCCTACAGTGTGCAGCAGATAAGGCGACTCTTTTCCTAAGGCCACCGCGCGACGGCCAATGCAGAATGGATGTATTAGTATTGGCGTAATTCATGGTTAGAAGGGTTGGACTAGGATACTGCCAGGGCATCCAAACCTGGCAGAACGACTGCGGTCCTCAGTCAAAGCGTTCGATAAAGTATACACCCGAAGGTCAGCGGACCGAGCGCCATGAGTCAGTGAACCGACTCACGCGGAATTGCGTGTTCTGAGTCTTAGCTAGAAGGATGTAACGCACCACCCACAAAGCGGTCGCCACAAGGCGTCCAGGACATGAGCCCATAGCACATTAGCAGCAGCGGGTAGACGATCGGTCAAGATCTCGCCACAAGCCTCAGCGGATTTCAATTTTTCTTTAAGAAAATCGTATTCCGTTGATATATATATATATATATATATATATATATATATATATATATATATATATAAATCAATGGATAGAGTTTGTGTTATGAAGTAAGTAGCCTTACGGAGGAACACGATTTTTTTAAAGGAATTCGAGTCCGTTATGAATGTAACTGCCTTGAAAAAAGGTATGGGATTATTTAATTTGCCAATGTTGAGACGCGTTCACGTTGCACGTCAATTCTACAGCGACATAACCCGCGTCTGGAGAACGACTTAAGGATACATCGGTACACTGTCACTGAGAGCTATAATCCGCGTTCACCGGGTGATATGAACCGTGGTTTGGTCAACACAGTATCGGACAAACGAACAATATCTAAGCACCGCCCACATGTCTATTGGAATATAAATTTGCACTAGAGGTTGGTTGTAGTGCAGCAGGGACAAATGCGAAATTGTGGTGGTGGGGAACAGCACCGAAACACAAGAGTCCGCTAAGGACGTCGTGTGATTTGAATAGAAAGGGCAAATTTTCCAGAATACATTAAAAGATCTGCAGCACCAAGCGGAGTTAGTACAGCAATTAACATGTTATACTTAGTGAAATCTCATACGTAATATAGAACTAGGAGAATTACCGGTGAAGCTATATATTGCATGGTGTAAATAATGTGTGTGGAATTGAGGAAAACCATTAAAAATTGACATTCTTGAGGGGGGGATACATAAGAGGACTCCAGTCAAGGCGTTACAATTGAAACTAGGAACATGGAATAATCGGGTTAATGGAATCACCTATCGTTATTATTGCGGTCCCAACAGTCGCTGTAGTCTCGCTCGACTGGAAGTTGAAATGGTAATCCAGTGAATGGCGGACACATCGCGAACTACCTGTGGGGGGAAATGGGGACTTGAGAAATAAACAACTTACAAGGTGTGGTTATAATTTAAAGTTAAACGATGCGCTAACCTACTCTGATTTAGTCGGGTGGTTAGAATAGTTTATGGATTTCGCAATTACTACTACGTCGCTTACTTCTGCTGCTACTCGTGCTTCTCCAGTACATGCCAAATTTTCTCTTGTTGATAATCTAAAAACCTGTTGTATCTACTTCCAATGCCGTCTCGCTGATACCCAAATCAGCTGTCCTTCGACCCCGTACTTCATTCCGTCTGGCAGCGTTCAATGTTCGGACCGTCCTACAGATTGGACAACAGGCTGGCCTGGCGCGCATTCTAGAATCCCTCGCCATCTATGTATGTTGCCTTTTCGAGATTTGATTGCACAGTGGTTAAATTGTCATCCCCAGCTGCCCCTGAGACCACATATTACCTACGTCTGTCTAATGACATGGAGGCAGCAGCACTCGGCTTAGCTGGTGTCGGTATTGCATTGAGTCACGAAGCAGAAACTGCATTACTCGACTGGTTTCCAAATGAGATCCGGCTGTGTGCAGTACGGCCTCAAGGCACATGTAGAATTAACAGACATCGTGAAGAGAGTCACAATTTGTCAGTCGTTTCTGCCCACGCTCCAAGCGACGGTTAAGGATGATTTTTATCGTGGTCTCCAAAACCTTTTGAACAAGGCCGAAAAGTCACATGTCATCGTCCTTGTCGGAGATCTCAATGCACGAGTAGGTTGCCTGCTTCCGTGCGAACGTCATCTTGGTGACAGTCACGCGCTGGATAAGATGCGTTCTGACAACGGTGATAGACTTCTTACGTTATGGGAAGACCACCGTTTTTCTCGCAAGTACGGACTTTAGGCATAACAGAAGACGCGCAGTCACCTGGCGTCCTCCTTCACTAACGCAGGCGTGGTCACAAATAGATCACATTGCAATCAGCTTTAGATGGCGAGGCAGCGTCCGTGGTTGCAGATCGAATTGGTCTACGTATCTCGATTCAGATCATGCTTTGGTCTGCGCGGACATCTGCATGCGCTTCGGCGGCCCATCAAAACGAAAGCTGCATAAGCTCGATACCAACAGGTTAGCTGACCTCTCTACTCGATCAACTTATCAAGCTTCCTTATCGCATGCATTCATTGGTGCTCCACCTCGAGAAATCGAAAATCATTGGTTACCTGCGTGAAGCGATGCTAACTTCCAGTCATTCAATCTGCGGAATCACAAGGCGCCCTCTGATACTGATTAGAAGCAGCAAGTAGAGCATACTCTGTGTAGCTGCATCAACTGTCGCTCTTGAACGTTAACGTATTAATTATCGTTCCGCTCTTTATATTTTATCTCTGCAAAGTGTTTGTCTAGAAGCTTCTTAAATTCGGCCACTGAATTCGCCTCTATTACCGGCTGCGGCAGGTTGTTCCAGGTGTTCACCACTCTACGTTCGAAACAGAGTTTGTGAGCGACCCGCTTCAACTGCGGTACGATAAGTTTGTACCGGTGTCCTCGCGTTCTGCTTGGTGTTCGCAGATGAAGCAGTTTTCTCAACATGGGGTAATCACTCAGATGTAATATCCGGTGCGTCATGATGAGGTCAACCCTCAGCCGACGATATGCTGGAGTGTACAGCCCTAGTTTCTTACATCGGTCTTCATATGGCATACCTCGTAAGCTGGGAATCAGCCTGGTGGCTATATGCTGCACCCGCTCAAGCTTTTCTACCTCGTCCGGCGTGATGGGACAATATGCGGGAGAGCCGTACTCTAGCATTGGTCGTATTATCGAGACGAAGAGGCGAGTGGCAATCTCTTCGGACCAAGTGCTGAAGCTGCGCCTGAGCGCCCAAAGTATCCGAAGGCTGTTTTGGTACAGCCTATTCGTGTTGTCAATGGACTTTAGGTCGCAGCGTGAGAGCACACCGAGGTCGCGCACGAAAGACGCGGGATGCAGCGGTTGACCAGCCATTGTGTACGTTCGGCTGTGCTCACACTTACCCAACCTCATGAATTGCGACTTAGTAGGGTTGATCGGAAGGTTAACCTCTGCAGACCATGTTGAGAGCCTGTCGAGATCCTGCTGAAGGAAATCACAATCATGGAGTGTGCGGATTACTCTCCACACCTTCAAGTCATCTGCGAGGAACGCACAAGGTGATGGGAGTAGTTGAGGCACATCGTTTACATGGATCAGAAACAATATCGGCCCCAGTACAGTGCCTTGGGGTACGCCGCTGCTCGATGGATACCAGTCCGTTAGATGGTTGTCCACCTGGACTCTCCACTTCCGATCCACAAGGAAATTTCTGATCCATTTGTGTAGCGAACCACCAACACCGTACATCCTCAGCCTGTCACGGAGCACTGCATGGTTAACCTTGTCAAAACCCTTACTGAAGTCAATATAAATGACATCGACTGAGTGGCCTTGGTTCATCGCTTGTAACCACTCGTGCCTTGTCAACAGTAGGTTGGTGATGCACGAGCGACCTTTCATGAAACCATGGTGTGCGGATGTCAACAGGTTTTTCGACTCGAGAAGCTGCAGAAGGTTCTTCTTCACGATCTTCTCAAGCGTCTTTGGCAAAACAGCAGTCAGGCAGATCGGCCGGTAGTTATCCACTTTACTTGGGTTACCACCTTTCGGTGTAGGCTTTACGATTGAGCATTTCCAGTCGTCTGGTAACAGTTCAGTGGATAATGACTTGTTAAACAGTTCAGTTACAGAAGGCGCGATGATGGCCGATAGGGACTTGAGGATCAGTGGGTGTATACCATCTGGCCCAGCAGGATTCGTCCCGTCAAGATTTGCTAGAGGCTTGCGCACATCCTCAATATTGCAGTCCAGGCTGTTAAGTTCGGCTGGAGCGGTACTCGTCGAACTCGTTACAGACACCTGGTCACTTGCAAATACGGAGGCGAAGTGCGCCGCCAATGCGGACGCACGATCTGTACTCGAGGTTAGGGGCTGCCCATCGGAGCCTTCTAACACTGGGACATTGGCTACAGGCCTCAGGCGCCGTTTCACATATGCGAAGATCCTCTTGGGAGCAGTTTTTGCGGCGGCTGCAAGCTCCTCTTCAAAGCTTCTGCGTTTCCTTGTTTTCGCGTCGTTGCAGCGATTTCGCTGGACCTTATACGCATTGTAGTCCTCATCAGAGCCAGATAACACGAACTTGTTCCATAGTCTGCGTTGTCGTCGGGCTAGTATGTTGTACTCTTTGTCGAACCAATGTGGTTTGACTGGCCCAACTTTCCGAAATTTGAGGGGTACAAATCGGGCGCACAACGATTTCACTCCCTCTTTAATGATAGTCCAACAGGTTTCAATAGATGAATCCTGTGGTAAAGACCAGTCTATCTGGCTCGCTGCTCCAATGAGGCCATTAAAGTCGGCCTTCCAGTAGTTGAAGGTTGGCTCCAGTGGGGGAGAATACGGCAGTGGTAGTTCCAAGCTGCCTATAATCATCGAGTGGTCGCTCGCTCCAAGAGGCTCTAAGACTTGAATGTTATGCACACGCTGCTCACAGCTAGTCAAAAGTAGGTCTAAGCATGATGGAGCCGCGCGCGCAGTAATGCGTGTCGGTTGGTTGATGTGCTGTGTGACCCCAGTTTCAAATAGCAACTCCGTAAACTTCCTCTCGACTTCACAGTGGCCGGGGAGAAGTTCAGCTTCAGGCCACTATATTCGGGGCAAGTTGAAATCACCCATGCGTAGGAACATCTGACGACTCATGTGGTTGCGGACATGCGGCAACCAGTTCAAACTGCGGCTCAGTGGGCTGCGATATACCACGCCCACGAGCAACTCGCAGCGTCTGAGGTGAATCGAACACCATAACTGCTCACATAGACCATCAGCGCTTTGGTAGGCGCTCACTAGTCTCCCACACAAGGAAGACTTTATGTAAAGTAGAACGCCATCGCGATCATTTGATGGTCTATCACAGCGGAAGCATGAGTAGCCGGTGATTTACACTTCTTGGACGGTTACCTCGGAGTTTAACCATGTCTCAGCAAGGCCTAATACGTCTGGTCGCTGAGAGCTTACAAAGTCATACAGCATATCGCGCTTGTTCATCAGACTGCATACGTTAGTAAAGGCTACGCGCAGATCGCGGTAGGAACCGTTGGGCGCGCCTGAAGCATTAGAGACCTGTTGATCCGGATTCGTGGAGGAATCCGGGCAACTAGCCGAAAATTTACAATTCGCAGATTGGGTTCTCCATCCTCCGTGCGTCGCTTTAGTTCAATTTTAGCAGACTTGAGCTTTTCTCTGTCTACCGGGTCTAAGCCAGCGCGCACGTGAATCTTTAAACCCTTCAGCCTATGAAGACGGGACAAGAGTAACTTGGGACTTGTTTCCTCGACAAAAGTTACCCTCATAGGCCGACTTTTGCCCTCCATTCTTTTTCCTAGACGGGCGATCTGCTGAACTTTGAGCCCGCCCTCGTTTACATCGAGTTGTCTATCAATCAATGATTGTAGAAACTCGACGTCGTGCTCATAGCGCACCTGAAGGTTGGAATCACTTGATTCAGGTGCGTGAAATATCATGAGGCTACGGCGCCTCAGGTCGTTAGACACTGCTCTTGGTTTCTTCGATGTTTGTATTTTCCATTCGTTATCATCAATTTGTTTATTGCAAACTGGAGTTTTGCTGTCAACTGAACACATTGCCGGCCTTGAGGGAGATCCTGACGGAACTTTAGTATCTTGGTTCCGGGATGGACGCGATGTACTAGGCACTGGTTGCTTCCCTGCCTGTGGTGTAGCACAAGGCGAGCTGGCCATTTTAGAGCTTTTCGTTGTACTGGTCCACTTGCTAGATGTGTTGGTTCTATTCTGCGCAAGTTTAGCTTGGAACAGTTTACAAACGATCTTCAAAAATTCGTTCTGAATACCCTGGATTACACGAAATTGGTCTACTGTAAGACCAACGCACGAAATATGAAGCTTAATACAGCAGAGACTGCATGTAATTGCG